ACTACACACACATGCACACCCAAATGTCGAACGAATCAGAAATGAATAAACAAATAATAAAACGTCCCCACCCTTAAGGATTATCCACATCATCCCAACTGAAATCCGGCAACTCCCCATCGACCAGCGTCCCAAAACCGTTACACCTCTGGCACCAAGCCGCCCTTCTACCTATCGCCTGCTGGGGACGGGATTTGGTAATCGACACGAGGCAGATGACGTGGTACGAGTGACCGCAATCGAGGCCCAACACCGCCGAGAGGTTCCCCTGCATTCGGCCGGCGTAGAAGGATTCGATGCAGAAGCCGATTTCTGCAAGGTTGCACTGGGTTTGCTGGTGCTGATGTTGTTCATGCTGTTGGAGACCGTCTTCCGGGACGGTGGTGGAGCTATTGGTGTTATTGATGTTAAGGTTGCCGTTGCTGTTGAGGGTGGTGTTTGGGGGTGGGAGCATGGTGTTCATTTGGTGGGGTTGGTGGGGTTGCCAATGCTGGTCGCGGTATTCTGGGTATTGCATTTGCTGGGGCTGGTTGCTACTGTAGTCGCTGTGTTGGACGCATGGCATGATAGGGAAGTTTGGCGGAGACTGATGGGCTGGTGCCATAGGGGTCGGTGGGGGACTAGCTGGGTTGTGTCGGTATGGTTGGTGGGGCGCTCCGCGCATGACAGGAATGCCGGGCGGCAGTCGCTCGGGTTGGGGTGCCGGCGCTCGATTAACGCCCAGATCCAAGTTAGCGTATGGGCTTTGATGTGCTTGTGGATGCATCGATTGGGGCCGTTGGATCATTGGCGTATGAACAGGATGTCGGGGTGGAAGAGTGTTTATCATCGGAGTGTGTCTAAGGAAAGGTGAAGCCATGCATAATGCCATCTCCATGTCCGCCGTGAATAATGGTGCATCGCCGATTCTTATGGATGATAAGCTCGTTGGGATATGGGGAACTGGAACCTCCTGGTATACTACATGTCCGCTCCTATTTCCCTGTTGATCCACTGGCTGGAGTCGCGGTGCCTGGGGTGCACGTGAATCCTCCGGGGGGTTCGCACTCGGGCGGATCCCACGGTGATTGCTCTGATCCCTCTCCAACCAGGACGGACCCTGCGGTGACACCCTCCTTGCGGTAAAATCCACCGATTGTGTGGATATGCGTCTCCTATGGCCCATTGCGTGGTGATGGCGGGGTGAATCCGGACCATTCCTCTCCCTTGCTGCAGCTGCCTGTGCACCCTGTCTCCTCATTTCCTGGTGCGACTGCCATCTCCTGCTCATCGCCATTGACCTCCCCTCCTCCTCCTCAACAAAATCCACCTCCCTTCGACAAGTTGGACATGTGCTATGCCCCTTCAACCAAATCTTCAGACAGTAAGAACCAAAGTGATGCCCGCAGCTCATCTGCAGCGCGTGTTCAGTCTTGAGCTCATCCGTGGAATCAGGGACATCAACATAATCCTCCATACAAATGATACAGGCCGTCTCATCCTCCTTTAGCTCCCTTAAAGCCAATGGCTTCAGCTCAGCAAGGGCCTTCTCCGAAGCATGTCGCTTCCGTTTGGGGAGTACCATCCTGGGTGGTGATGAAGCTCGTGGATTAGAAGGTGGCTCTTCCGATTGCCAGTTCCCCTGAGGGGTGTAGAAGTTCCTCCCTCGCACATAAGATCTTGTTGGCGGGATTTCGTAGTCTTGGATTGAAACATCATCGTATGCGACGAATGACTGCCGCATAACCTGCGATCTTATTGGAGTTCCATAAGTTGTCGACAGCGGGGCGTGTGGATGCGCTGGGAGTGGGGCATACGGCCGAGCTGGTGCACCATAGAACACATGTGAGGAAGTAGATGAGGTACGATAACTCGAGGGGCCATGAAGTAATGTTTGAAAGGTATAGGAAGAAATGTCGTTTAACAAACCTGCCGCAGCCCCATCTTCGGGATTATGATGGCCAGAATGGAATTCGTGACTAGACATAGCTATTTTGGCGCAATGATGTAGGGGAAAGTGGACGGGTATGTTGAGACAAAGTATTTCAGAAGAGAAGAGAAAAAAAAAAACAAAGAGAGATGGAGATAAGGATGGAGGAAGATCTCTCTTCTTTCTTTCTTTCTTTCTTTCTTTTTTAATCTTTGGTTTGAGGGCTTCTCTTTGTGTTTATCTTATTGCTTTCTTTCCCACTCACAAAAATCTGAGTTTTTCTTGTTTTTCTCGCGACCCCTTTTTCTTTTTGTGGAGGATTTATCAGTTCAGGGATTTCTCAGGCGTTCGACTAATGGACTGCTGTTTTGGCTGTTTTTGTATCGTGCACTTAGCCATAGGCACGATGTCAACAGCTTAGGCGGAATAGGTGTACGGCAGCGATTGGTTGTGAAGCGACCACAACCGTGAATCAGAAACACGGCTTGAGGGAGCAACAAGAGGGTAGGGTATGGTGTGGAGGGGGTGGGGGCAAGAAGGAAGAGACAGGGAGATAAGCGGCAAGTGCTGTGCACACGATTAGAACAGGAAACCCGGGGCGGAGAAGACCACAGAAGAAAGGGAGGAATAAATAAAAGGGATAAATCGAACAGACAGGCGGGCGGGCAGGCGAGCAAGGGATTATGATAGCAGAACTACGATATATCTCGCTCCCAGTTGACAGGGCAACCCGGGCGAGGTGAATGGGAGTGAGGTTGGGCGAGAGGGGGCGAGAGAGAGTTGAACCGGAGAGAGGTAGCGAGAGAGAGTGAAAAGGGAGAGGGAGGGAGAGGGAGAGAGAGGGTAAAGTGAGGTAACGGAGGTGGAGGATCGGTGAACCAGGAATGGTTTGCAAGAGTTGAAGACTAACCTATGCCCAGATACAGTGTGTACTCGTACTCGTACAGAGAAAAATGACCTCCACGGCGAGAACAGAACGCGGGAAAGAAAGAAAGGGGAGATGATCGATTTGTGGCCCGCGGTGGAGCCAGCCTGGCAAAAGGACAAGGGAGGATGGGGAAGAGAAGGAGGAGAGAGACACTCGACCCGCTTTGTGTATCTCCTGCGAGGACCTTCTGTTCGCAGCCGAAGTATACAGACAAGAGCACAGTACCGTGGGGGGAGAAATGTGGTGATAATGTTCGGGTACGAGAAGACGGAGAAGACGGAGAAGAGGAAGCGGGAGAAATATTAGAAATTGCGAACAAGAAGGCGAAAGTCTCCCAGTCCTGTTATTTACGATAGATAGGGACAGGGCAGGATACGGCGCGAGAGAATACCACCGTAGATAGCGATAATTGTCTCTCTTTCCCTCATCTTTACTAACAACTTGCACCGATCTCCTCTTCCCCTTTTCCCGCGTTTCAAGCAAGGCCTCGTGAGTGGAGGGAGTCGAGTTCGAACCTCGCAGAGTATCATCATGGCACGGTGCGGTGCAAGCCAGACAGACCACCATACCGATACACCATCGGAATCCCGCAAAGTACCGTGCCAACACCGTCAATCATGATACAATTTACCGCCGCATGTACAAAAACTGGTTCCCCCCCCCCTTTCGTGGCCCTCTCTCCTCCTCCTCCTCCTCTTCCTTCTGCTTCTCCTTCTCCTCCTCCTCCTCCTCATCCAGCTCCTATTTCCACCCTCTCACTCCGCTCTACACCGTGGTACCCTTTTCCCTCGTTCCTGCACTTCAGCCAGTCGCTGGGGGGGGGGGCAAACACCGCAAACGCCGGGGCTGCCAAACATCTCGATGCGTTGCCTGCTACCCAGCGGAGCGAAGCAAAGCGACACAACATGTTATCATATCATAGTCCCATTTTATTCCCCCGAACACAAACCCCACCTAAAACGCCCCCTTCCTTCCTCCCTTCCTAGCAGCTCCTACCCTCCCCCATTCCCTTCGTAACAATAGCATATGTAGACCCCCTCCCGTCGGAAAGCCTGATCTCGACAACCATTTTTATTTCATTTTTTCCCCAAACAATTCCCCCCACCCCCGAGTGCGCAAAATCATTAATCGCAAACAAACCTGACTACCTACCTGTCCATCTGCTATCTGTTTCTGTCGCCTAACCGCGTGAGGTGAACGATTGATTGATTGATCGATTAAATTGGCTGGAAAAAATCAAAAAGGCCCCCGTATCCACCTTTTCACTCTTCCCCTCTCGTGAGTTTATCATCACGCTACGGTGGAATAATTCCACGATCGCCGCCGGGCAAAAAGATCCATGCTATGAGATAGCGGGGGTGGTGCCGTAGGTTAGTTGTCCCGGTGGGAAAGGAGAGAAAGAACCAAAGCCTGAATCAATGAACAGTCCAAACGGGAGCCTCCTCCACCCCTTCCGGCCAAGGCGCCAAAAATCTGGTAAACAGCAAATCTCTTAATCAATCAACCAATCTATCTATCTCCGATGTCCTCCCTCGCACAGAGCCTGACAAGACGAGAAAAAGGAAAAAAAGAAAGAAGGGTGCGAAGATCGCAGGAGATCCCCCCCACCACTCCCCCGCTCGATTTCACCCGTACAGCACCTTCAGCTCTTGACATTACATCACATCTACAAGTGCGGTACTCGTACAGTACAGTACCGGAACGCGATTCAGGCGCACGCGCCGTGAGCCTCACTCAGGCTCACGGAACTCCAGAGCAATGACCGCCAACCAGTCAATACGGGGTTAATTAATTAATTAATTGCCGGCAATTTATTAATAATCCCTTTTTCCTTCTTCCTTTCCCTCTTTACCCTCTCTGCCCTCTCTCCATAATTATACGGTATGCTGTCCTATGCACCCCGCCGGTTCCAGCGATGTTTTCAAGGCGTATGCTATTGATTCATCCATCCATTCATCAATCGACTAAGTTAATGCCTAACCACATCCATCCACCATCCGCCCACCCGGGGTGATGCTGTTGAGCTGCACACTCCTGAGCCATGTTTTGTCGTGTTATTCAACCAATTAAACAATTGTACCAGCATCTACCATCGTGCCCTTCCCCCTCCAATCTTCAAGTGCATTTTTTTTTCCCTCCCTCCTTTCTTCATTCCTCCATTTCCTCTTCACTTTGGGAGTTTGCATGCGCTAGGCTAATACCTACCTGTCACACCGCACCGCACTGTTTGTATCGTTCACGCATACAGGCCATGCCGTGCCGCGCCGTAAGGCACCGGTTGGGTCGGAATAATTTGCGTATATACTGTACCGTACCGTAGGTACTCCCTTCCTTCCTTGCCCGCTTGATTGACCTTTGCTGTCGGCGTTCGCCCCGTTCAATGGAACTCTTTGGAGGCATGGGAAATCACTCGGTATTGTCGGTGGGGCGTGCATCGGGATGTGGGAGCGAGGAAGGGAGGATGCCGGAGGGAGATCCGAAGGGGAGGGGAGGGGAGTATCGAACAATCGGTGGTGGTGGGAGCTGGGGGCA